TTTTTTCTAAGAGTTCTTTTTTTTTTTTTAGTTTTTGTATTCTGAAATTTAAATGGAGCATCTAGACTGTTGATTTTAAAGTACGTTTCTGTTTGTATTTCTTTTAATTTTGCAATGACGGCATATATATTGGGGTGAGTGGAATTGAAACTTGAATTAAAATGCGCATGGAATGATTCACATGCATTAGTTGTTAAACACGTATCAACTGATGCACAGGCCCACATATCAGGTGGAAACATAGCATCTTCTCCTATGTATGTATCGACTAAATAATCTGCAAATTTAGTAACTCGATTATCATCAGGTTTCAATTCCATTAAAGTAAAAATAAAAAAGTCTGAAACATTTTCTGGCTCTAAGAACACTAATCCATAACAATTAATCAACCATTTGCTTATTTCTGAATCTTTTGTTTTGTAGTCTACACTTAATCCATTTTGTTGTATATTTCTATACCAAGCTTGTGTTATGTGGAATCGGCATCCATATATTTTAATGTTTGGCCAAATAAAGTTACAAGCGTGATGAATAGCTTTTTCAAAGTCACTGATAACGGCAATTGGTTTAAACTCACAATTAATAACGCTACATTTTTCAACAACGTGTTTTAAACATGAAATATATGTATTTGTAGTTTTTCCAGTTAATAAACAAAAAACAAGTGGTATGTAATGACCATTTATATGACCATGTATTGTAAACATTTGTTTAAAAAACTTAGTACAGTATGAGAACGTTCCGTCAATATATATATATTTTGATGTGCAAAGCGTTTTTAAATTTGTATCACAGCTAAAAATAATAATTTTTTCTAGCTTATCATTAATTAATAAAAAAATTGTACTTCTATTTGTTACTATTTCCATACTTTCTAATACCTCGTGTACTTCGTCGATCGATTTTGGTAGTGCAGGCATTGATTTTCTTCTAGCGTTGTACATATTCCTCTTAACATACCGAATATCAGTTACTTGCAGATCTTGCACGTCAGGTACATTGTTTACTGCACTACAAAAGATTTTATTTGGCCTAGTACAGATATCCTCAGTTGCTTTACGTTTTGCCTCGGTGGTAACACATTGTCGTTGAAGTACTTGGTCGCTGATAGGTTCATGCAAATGATTATCATTTTTCTCCGTAATATCATTATTTATTCCAAATGTTTTTAAAAAAGCTGTACATTTGCGGTTTATACATCGCCATTTAATTTCCCCTGAAGCTAACGGACGAGTTACTTTAGAATATTTAAAATGTTCTAAGACTAAAAGTGGTTGTCCACGTTGGGATTCAACTATGCGTGCCATCGTTACGATTGTAAAAACACTACTGATACGAGTGAAACGTCGTTTCAAAAGTCCAACACAAAAATGAAATTATTTGTATCAATGTTTAAATATATTTTAACATTGGTTAGATACGTTTAGATACGTTATTTATTAGTTGCTGGTTAAATTATGTCGTGCTTATTGCAATATTTTATCGCTAAATAGCCTAAATATTATCGGGCCGAGATTACAACGGATATTTTTATCATCTGAAATTTCCGAGCCGAGTTTACATTCTACCTAATTTATCACCTAAAATTTTTGGAGCCGAGTTTACAACAAAAAAGGTAATCGTGGGCCCAGTTTACATTTGCCCATTGAACCATCTAGCACTGATGATGAAGATAATATAGTTGATAGTGAAAGAACAGGTAGGAAGAGGCGACGAAGACTAAGTCTATGGAATAGGAATAAAGCCAAAACCAGTAAAGCTTTTGGTTTAGATTACACAAGTAGAAGTGGAAAAGTGGTTGGTACCAGGAAACCAGGTAGGTCTTGTACATGTAAAAATAAATGTTTTTCTAAAGTATCCGAAGGTGACAGAGCTAGTCTTTTGAATATTTTCAAAAATATTGGAGAAAAAGAAAAACCAGATACATATTTATGTGGTTTAATTCAAGTAAAAGATATTGTGTGTTGTAGACCTAGAACTGGTGTTAAAAAACCTAAATCCGTTACTAATAAGTTTATTTTGAAAATTAATGGTATGGAATATAATGTTTGTAAAAGAGCTTTTATATCTGTATATGGCATAACAATGGCAAGAGTAAATAGATTAGTGTATTGTAATAAATCAAATAATCCTAGTCCTAAGGATTTAAGAAGAAAACATTCTAACCGCTCAAATAAAATCCCAGACAACATTTTAAAGCAACTCGATGACCATATTAAAAGCTTACCAAATCATCAAAGTCATTACAGTAGAGAATCAAATGGAAACGTTACTTACCTATCACCAGATTTAAATAAAAAAATCATGCATAACCTTTATTTGGAAAAATATGAACCAGAAACTTACAAAAAAATACAAGATGGAGAAACTAATATAGTACCGATCGTATCCTATGGTTTTTTTAGTCGCTACTTTTCTTTGAACTATAATATGTCCTTTGGTCATCCAAAGACAGATACTTGTCAGTTGTGTGACCTACTTAAAAATCAAATTAATTTTGAAACTGATGAAGTAAAAAAGTCAAAATTAATTAGTGAAAAAGAATTACATATTGAAAAAGCTGAACTATTTTATGAAGATTTAAAAAAATATCAAGCCATGTCCAAAGTGATGGAAAATAAATGTGAGGTGTTGTCTTTTGATTATCAGCAGAATATGCCTCTATTACATGTCCCAGCTGGTGATGTGTTTTATAAACGTCAACTTTGGGTGTATAACTTCTGTATTTTTTCGGGTAGAACTGGGAAATCTTATTTTTATATGTTTTTATAGTGTCTAAAAATGGCAAAAATGAAGTAATAAGCTTCATAAACCACTTTTTTATCAATTACTTGGATCGAGGAGTTGATACAGTTTATATTTTTTCTGATAATTGCAGTGCCCAGAACAAAAATCATTGCTTAGTTCAATATTTATATAGTGTGGCAAACAAAAAGGAATATGGAATTTCAACAATCATACATCGCTATCCAGAACCAGGATACAGTTTCCTACCGTGTGATAAGAATTTTGGACTTATTGAAAAACAAAAGAGGCGGCAGGAAAGAGTATTTTTGCCTGTGACGTATCAAAATATAAAACGTCAGATTCATTATCAACTATAGGTTTAATCAATTTTTCTTTTCTCCCAATTGACACAATATCATATTTACGTATAAGTCTATTATTTGTTACCGTTTTTTTTAGTGTTCCAATTTTTAATTTTTTTATTTTTTGAATCTTGTTGTTATATTTTTCAGAACTAAAATAAAATATATTGTCACCTCTCTTTTTAGTGCTGACATTTTTGTCAATTGCTGCTTTAAATTTGTTCTGCATACTTTAATACTAAAATTGAATAAAACTATAACACTATAATTTAATCTAACTTTTATTATATTTTGTTCACTGGTGACTCAAATTTTTACACACATCCGTAGCAAATACAAATCGCTATAATATGCCCGTCGATACTAAGTAATAAACTAAAAGATTGTCTCATATTATTACTCGGGTTATCGACGTTATTGCTAGTTGGGATTTTCGTTTATCTATCTACTTCCGTCATGATATTTTTAACTAACGAAGCTTATTCGGTACCTATACGCTTATAGTTGATCATTCACACCGACATAAAAGTATTAAACATCATTCTCCAATTAAATTGGTGATTGACGACAATAACCGGGGAATGTCTGCATTTACAACTTTTACCAATTTTTAGGTAAATGATGTCATTTACCGGGAAATGACGTCTTTTACCACGTTTACATCATTCACCGTAACATATGCATTATTATAATATTTTATCATATGAATTCATTATTACAAGTAATATTAAAAGTTATAAGGAATGTTGAAAAAATATATTGTATAGTTACATAGTTATCACTTAGTCATTATACAACTAAAACTTTTAACAATAGGTTTGTAATATTATTATAAACATAACAGAATATATATTTAAAAAAAAAAAACATAAATATTAATAGTGACTTCTTGTCGAGTATAACATTATAAGAAATATTAAATAACATTTAATTATTTTTAGTTAATAATAAAAAAAGAATCTCTCGATCAGTCTTAAAATATTGATATAATCACATTAAAAAAAAAAAAAATATATCTGTTTTTGTGTTACACGGAGACGAAAATGAGCTCAAGGGGTATAGTCCCGCTTAAACTTTTAAAATCTCCCTGCCCAAAAGTGCTGTGAACATACAAATACATACTACTTCCGATACTCTTGTAGCAGTAACTTTTGTTCTGTTTGTTATGTCCATTTCATGGTTTTTGAGTTTGGCTTGTGTTCCACTGACGGCACCAGCCTCGCGCCGTCTGCCTTCTTTCCGATCTGCCTGGGCACCAGGGGTCGGTCAGTCCCCCGGTGGTGAGCTTGTCCGCGACCGCTTATTCGTCCAGTTCCGAAGGGCATGGCTTATTTCGCGGCTACCCTGTATGTCTACAGGGCGTTCCCCTATCCGCAGCCTGGGGACGCGCCCGATAGCATGCTCCTGCGCACGGGAACCTAACCTAACCTAACCTTTTTTTTTTTTTTTAAGGTAAAATCGCAGACGAGGAGGGAAGTAGGTTGCCCCATTACTGCCTCCACGCCGGCATCGTTTATTATAAAACAAATCAAATCTATACATGGTAATTACAATTGTTACTACGCGAAAAGACAAAAGCTCGGAAAAAAAAAATAATAAGTCAGATCCTACTGAGTAAGATGCTGACCTAGCACAATATAGCTACAACTAATAAATTAACAAATTAACAATATAACAATAGTGGGGGCCTCTAACCACCCTAAAAACTTTGGCCGTTTGGCCTATAATACAACATGCTTAACTAACAATAAACGACAATTTTTAAGGTACGGGCGCACGGGCGACTCTCTGCCTCTCCCTCTCTAACACTTCTTTCTCACCCAGGATGCCTTCCACTATCGCTTGGAACAGCTCACCGTGTTTGGCCGCCTCCGCCAGTAGCTGACCCCTGGCTGCTAAATCTTCAGGCAACTACTCCCGCTCCGGACCACACAACAGATATCCGACATCCTCCGGAAGGACGCTCATGCCAACAGCACGCTCCAGGTCCCTCCTCTTGTCTTCCCAGCGGCTGCAGTTGAAGAGCGTGTGTTCCGCATCGTCATTGTCGGCGTCGCAGAGTACGCAGGCAGGACTCTCTGCCCTACCTCTGGCCGCCAAGTACATTTGGAAGCAGCCATGGCCCGTGAGGGCTTGGACCATGTGAAAACTTATCCTTCGCGGCCCGAAGTGCCACCATGACCTGAGACAAGGGATGAGTCTCTTCGTCCAGGCCGCCTTTGGGGTGGAGTCCCAGAGCTCCTGCCACCGCCGTATTATGTCTTCCTCCGACACCTGTCGGCTGCGAAAGGCTCCACTCTTCCGAGCTACCGCTACTAGCCTCCTTTCTTCAGCGAGGATCGTCGCGGTTTCTTCAGCGAGGATCGTCGCGGGTGGCATCCGAGCGAGGACTAGGGCTGCCATGTCGGAGACAGTGCGGTAGCACCTAGCAGGGCCGCGCACCTCTGCGCCTGTAGCAGCAAGTCCTTGTTCTTGTTCATCCTTGTTGCCCCTTCGACCCACACCGGTGAGCCATACAACAGACGACTGTTCACAACGCTCATCAGGAGTCCCCTCTTACTCTGTGATGGTCCACCAATGTTCGGCATGAGCCGCCCGATTGCCGCCGCTGCCTTCCTGGCTCCAGCTGCCACTGTTTTGACGTGCTCACCAAACGTCAGCCTGGTGTCCAGTTGAACACCTAGGTATCTGACAGTGCGCCTGACGGGGATCCTTTTTCCCTGTATAAACAGCTCAGGGTCCCGATATGCCCGCTTCTTTGTCAGCACCACGCACTCCGACTTCTCGGAAGCTGCTTACAGACCGTTTTCTACCATCCACTGTTCGGCCTCACAGAGCACCGGGTTAAGCTTCGCCTCTATGAGTTGCGCGTTATGCGCTACCGCAACTACCGCAGCATCATCCGCAAAGGCCACCAACTTAATGCCTTCCGGGACTGTCAAGCGCAGGACCCCGTCGTAGAATAGATTCCACAATGTGGGGCCCAGCACCTACCCCTGAGAAACACCAGCCGTTACCCGTTGACTATGGGTCTCGTCGAGGAGAGCACCCTGGAGCTCATATAAGACCTCAGTACTGCGACCAGCTGACCCGGAACTGACGCCTTGCGGAGCGCCCTATCAATCAGCTGCCAGGGAGCTGAGTTAAATGCATTCCTGACGTCCAACGTCACGAGGACGCACAGGTGCCTGTTCTGGACTGCGCCCCGACCAGCTGCCTCTGCAGCACCGAGGACCTCCTCGATGGCGTCTGTCGTCGATCTCAACCACCTGAAGCCGAATTGGAGGTCGCTGAGAGCACCCACTGCTCCAATGTGTGTGTTGAGCCTCTCCAACAGCAGCCTCTCGAACACCTTCCCTGCTCCGTCGAGGAGGCTGATCGGCCTGTAGCTTGAGGGGAGGCCCTGAGGCTTACTCTGCCCCTTATGTAGAAGCACGAGCTTAGCCCTCTTCCAGCATTCCGGGAATCTGCCTTGAGCGAGGCACGCGTTGTAGCATTGGAAAAAGACGCCTGGAAACCCGTATTACTGGTATACTAATTTGATCATTTCGTTAGGGACGTAGTCGGGCCCGGGCGCTTTGCCTGAGGGCAGTTTGTTGATGGCCATCTCCACTTCCTCCGCCGTGAAGGCTGGAACCCGCGGCTGGTCGTCTGATAGGTCGATGAGTATCGGCATAACCTCCGACTCTGCAGGGATACTCCGCCAGTCTGTTGCAGGCAGCGACGGGAAGAGCCCCCGAGTGACACTTGTCAACACTACGGGGTCCAGACTTGGCGCGCGACGACCCAGCCTCTTTATAACCAGCCTGTAAGGGACGCCCCAGGGGTCTTTGTCTACAGTTTGGCATAGCTCCCTCCAACTCGCCTCTTGCGCCTTACGAATGGCCAGCTTCAGCTCCGCGCGAGCTTTGCTATATGCATCCAGCTCCACCTGCCGGTCCTGCAGGGTTGTCCTACGACCGGCGCGTTGATAGCGCCTCCGGGCTGCTATAATGGCTTTCCGCAGTCTGGCTATATCCTCGCTCCACCAGTGGACCGCTGTTTTCACCACGGGTAGCGACCTGCGAGGCATAGCTGCGTCGCAGGACCATCGGAGAAGTTCTTGCAGCCGTTCGACGTGCAAGTCAGCAGAGGCGTTGACCGGCAACGGCGATGGAGAACCGACCACATCCCAATACACTCTGGCCGCATCCGAATTCAGCCTCTTGACGGCCCAGCCCGGAGCTCGTAATCCCGCGCTGCTACCAGCAGGGACGGGCACCGCCGAGAACGCCACATTAAAGGCCACGTAAAGATGGTCACTGGCGGAAAACGTGTCCTCCAACACCGTCCACTTGGTTACCAGAGGGCGCCTGCCCAAGAGAGTACGCTCAAAAGTCACGTCGATTACCGATTCCGCGTTTACGCGCCTATATGTTGAGCGCGACCCAACATTGCACACCGTCAGGCCTAGCGAGGAGGCAAGATCGGAGAGCAGGTCACCCCTGACATCGTTCGTTGCCGAACCCCACTCGGACGAGTGTGAGTTGAAGTCGCCGTCAACTACCAAGTTCAGCGGCTCCGCTATCAGGAGCCGTACTGCCTCCTCCAGATCGCCCAGGAAGATATCAAAATCTTGCATTGAGCAGTTGGGGGAGCAGTAACAACTGAACAGGATCGTTTGCCCGAGCCGGACCCACGAAAAACCGACACCGGCTCCAGATTCCGCAACGATCAGTCCGGAGGCTTTAGCGATGTACACTGCGCACTTGCCGTCCATACTGGGCACCCAGTGCTGGTCATCACCCATCGCTCTGTTAAAATTGCTGAGCAGAGCGATCGCGACCTTCCTCTACGCCATGACATGGTCAGACATGATCGGCCTTGATCCCCGCCTCCAACATCTTCGAAAACGCATTGCTTACCTCCGCCGAAGCAGTACAGAGAGCCGCCTTGTGCCCAGATTCACCGCATTTCCGACAGCACTCTGTCCTATCCGGGCCGCCGCACTGACTGGACATGTACCCAAATGCGAGGCACCTGAAACACCTGACTCTAGGGTCGGCCAACCTGATCCTGCAGCTGACCATACCCACCCGGATACGTCCAGTTCTCAGTACTCCCCGGGATGCCCCGACGGGGTCCGACACCAGCGCAAACTGCATACCGCCGTACCTCTTCCTCAGGCTTATGACTTTAACCTCCTCAGCCGAGACTCCAGTTGCCGCCACCACTGCGTTAAGCACTTCCTCGGAGTTGGTCCATTGGTCCAGATCACGGATCTCCACCATGGTCTTCTGCTGGAGGGAACGCACCACGACGTCCGTGCCCGCGGACCTCGCAATCTTCGATCGGACCTCTTCAACACGAGTCTGGTCACCCCGAACATCAAACAAAAGACCACCCTTTTTGGCCTGCCTCATGCCAATGACGCTGTCCCTAATCACGTCACGATTGATCACGCCTCTGATCTTTCTGGCCAACTCCGGAAAGTCCTCCGCAGTGACGTTCACAAGTATCGCCGATGGTCGTACTTTGGGGCGTGCTTGCTTCTCTGTGGTTTTCCCCTTATCTGCCGACGCAGTAGGCACCGGCGCTCTAGCCTTGGACGCCTTTTTCTTGACCACCTCCGTCCATGTGGCGGGCGGTGAGTTCGCTCCTGTTGTAGCCCCTACTGGCTGATTTATAATGTCAGCACCCGCCATCAAATCATGCGAAGTCATCGGAAAGTTGGCAGATCAAGTTGACGAAATCCAGAAAGCACCAACAGCAGCAACATCGAAAACTCTGAAGCAGCAGAGAACGAGAGAGCCACACCCAGACCAACAACTACACACAATCAACACAGCGTACGGTCCCCAGGCACCGCCAGAAGAGGTAAACAAATGGTCAGAGGTGTTCGGAAAAGAAACCAAAATCAATAGCAGAGAATGAATCCAAGGTCAATACGGCTCCAGTGTGAAGGACCACATGAGCTTAATGATGACTGGGAGGCCTAGCGTTATGAAATCCCTCATGACCTACGCCGGTTCAGGTAAGGCTGATATTATCAGATTGCGTTCCAAGGCGGTGGCATCATTATCGAAGTAGACGGGAAGGAGATGCCGACAGGCTGGCAGAGATGGGATGGGGGCGTTTGGGAACGGCAACCGGGGACTACAGAAGGTTCCCTATTTTATCAGGGACGAATACCGAACTGGATAGAGAGTGGAAGTTGTCGCATTTGGTACGCTTTGACAGCTGCTTTCGGTGATGCAAATGAATATCTGATAACCAGAAGGTGAGACAGCTTTCTGCCGCATACCGATGAAGGGCATCAAAGGTTGGGCTGGAAGCTGCATGAGCTGGTCGACTGCAGGATTATACATGCTGGAAGAAAGATAGGGTGTCTAAATGTCAGGCGAGGCAATAGCGGCGGCCTGCACCTTCGGTGGTCAAGCCGAAGGCGTGTTCAAGTGCAAATCTTTTAGAACGACCTGGTTTCGAGAATGCGTTTATGCAAGGCAGAAAATGCAGTCAGCGCGAGGTAAACATGAGGTAAACATCAGCCAGAGGGTGGGGTTCGGCATCCGCAGAGGGCGAAGAGATTAATTCATCTGCAGGAACCTGAACACTGCAAAGCGGTCGGATCGCTCCGCAGCATGTGGTCGAGCGGGCGTTGGTCGCGCTATTACGACCCCTTATTCCGTTAGCCGATCAATCTTCTTGGCTCTGCGCGCTGGAACCCGAGAGCGCATATTTCAATAAGCAGGTAGCGGAGCCGCACTGGCCGAATTCATGAGACTAGAGTTCAGGTGCTGCCCGCCTCAACGGGATCCAGACCAGCTGCTACGCGTCGCCCATGTCGATGGCCGAACCGAAGACTTTCGTGAGGCTGAGTTAAGTGGGCGGGTCGAGACCAGGGTCCCTGCAGATCACCGAGACTCAACGCGCTCAGCGGCATGGGCGACTCTGCTGCAACACTCGGGAACGATCTGCACCTCTCCCAACTCTAAGACGCCAGGTCCAAGCAAGGACTTCGCCAAGCCTTTCGTGGGTAGGAAGAACAGCTCAGTGACCTTACCGTGGTGTCTTGTCACTTGTACACGTTTCGGGGTGGCTCGCAGTGAGCGACGTCAATATCAGTACATCGTCTTTCAAACCTGGAGAGCCTCTAGAACGAGAGACCCACTAACTCATGGGCGCGAGGCTGGAAGACTGATGGTGGGAATCAGCAGCAAGACGGTGGAATCTACCTTCTTGCGAAAGGACCAAGCGGTGCACTGCTTTCTTATCTGCCAACAGCGACCAGCGGCATCGGCTGTCCACAGTCCATACGTGGCTGCGACTTTGCCCTTGGCGCTTTTCATTCTCGCGAAAACCCCACCCTATTGTGAACGCCGAGATTGCTCGAAACTAGAGTCGCGGCGGCAAAGCGAGCTAAG